TTTTTTTTTTTTTTTTTTTTTTTTATTTTTAATGTTATTTTAATCAAAATTAGAGTTTCATTTTTTTAATATGATAATAAAGATTTGCATCAAAAATCAACATCTATCATATAAAACTCATTCTGATTGGAGAATAGTCCTAAAAGCACGTAAGTAACTATTCAAAGTTTTTTGCATAATTAATCAAACCCCAACAGAGTTATATTCAGCAGAAGAAATACACACAAGCTTGTCTTTTATTCTCATGTTCCAAAACCAAAAAATGAAGCCATTTTCTCCCATGTTGTCTGCATTTTGGTCCATATGTCTTCACCTACTTCTTTTAACTTTGAACACAACACTGTTGTTTGGCCCTAACACAACAGCCTCAGCAACAACAAATGTGACCGACCACGTGGCATTGCTCAAATTCAAGGAATCAATATCCAACGACCCAAATGGAATCCTAGATTCTTGGAATAGTTCAACCCACTTCTGCATGTGGCATGGAGTCACATGCAACCCCATGCATCATCAAAGAGTTACACAGTTGAACCTCGGAGGATATCATTTGCATGGAGTCATATCTCCACATGTTGGCAACCTCTCTTTTCTGGAATATCTTGATCTCAGGAACAACAGCTTCTACGATGTGATCCCACCAGAATTGGGTCGTTTGGTACAACTTCAGAAACTCATTCTCGTCAATAACTCATTGGTTGAAGAAATTCCTACAAACTTGACAAGTTGCACTCTCCTTGAAGGCTTATTCTTGTCAGGGAACAATCTTTTTGGCAAAATTCCTATTGATATTGGTTCTCTTAGGAAGCTCCAACAAATATTCATCACAAGCAGCAACTTAACGGGACCAATCCCTCCATCTATTGGGAATCTTTCATCCCTTATTGATCTTAATGTGGGGTCTAATAACTTGGAGGGAAACATTCCACAAGAAATATGCAGATTGAAGAACTTGAAAATCATATCAGTGGGCATAAACAAGCTAACTGGTAAACTTCCTTCTTGTATCTATATTATGTCATCCCTTACAATAATTTCTGTTGATATGAACCACCTTAGTGGCTCTCTCCCACCAAACATGTTTCACACCCTCCCCAATCTCCAAACACTTTTCATTGGTGGTAATCAAATGTCAGGTCCAATCCCAACATCAATCACAAATGCATCTATGCTTCAAAGATTTGATAATACTGAGAATCATTTTGTGGGACAAGTTCCAAATCTAGGGAAGCTAAAAGATCTTAAGCTTCTAGGTTTAGCACAGAACAACCTAGGTGGCAACTCAACTAAAGATTTGGAGTTTTTAAAATCATTGATAAATTGTAGTATGTTGTTTCTGTTAAGACAAGCAATGGGCAGCGGAAGCATAAAACATTTTTCCCCTCCCTTCCATTACTCTCTTCTCATTCCCTTTCTTGGCTGAAATATGGGTGTTAGGGTTTGATTTGGAAGGTGGAGCTGTTGAGAATCAAGAAGAGCAGCAAAGCTAATCTTCCTCCCCGAAGCAATTTTATTTCTCTTCTTCTTCTTCTTCTTTTTCTCTTCCCCGGGAGCTCGGAACCAAAATTCTTCTTCCTCCGAGGTAAGGGAAGCTAGAATTTGTTGATTTTGGGATAAAATATTGTATTGTTACAACAAATTGCTGGTTGCATGTTGATTAAATTGGAGTGTGTGGAATTAGAAAGAGGGGTTTTAAGTTGTTTGAAGAATGTGATGGATTGGGTTGAATTTCTTGTTGCACGTGGGGTTTGTGATGTTTTCTGAGTTGCATGTTGATGGTAGGACTATTTTCTTGCAAGTGCAGGTGTTGGGTCTCTTCGGGTTTTAAGTTTTGATGGATTTTGGGTGAAAAACATGTGGGAAGCCATGGAAGGGCAGAAATTTTAATCTGGAGCGCTGAATTGAGCGTTGTAGTGCTAGGGTTAGATGACCGAATTTGGTTTTAGGATCTTCATGAAAGTTGTAGCCTTGGATGTTAGCTTTCCAATGGCATCAGAATCACCCAAAAAAGAGGTATGGAACTCCAGATATGGTTGTTTTAGTGAACAGGGGTTAAGTTGTAAGCATTGGTTGTAGCTGTTGCGGTTTTTAAAATTTTTAACAAGGTAGGTGATGGAATTAGGACTTGGTATCTTCATGAGAGTTGTAGGAAATATTCTTATCTTTCATATGAGATAAGGATGATAATGATAGGAGTAGTATAAATTCATATATGTTGTTTTATGTGAAGATTGTCATTTCATAATAAGTGATTTGGTTAAGTCAAAAGTTGTTTTGAGTGCTTAGGTTGTTTTATATTGTTTGTGTGTGTAAGTTGGTATGATAGATGAGTTGTAAACATGTAGTGTGAGTTGTATTATATGGTGAAAATGTTGATAAAATATTTAATAATGATGTGGTGGGTGATGCTTTTGTGATGATGATGGGATGTAAACGAGATGTATGAGTAGCTATGATGTGTTGTGAATGTTGTAAGTAGTTACAGATGATTGCATAACATGGGTTGATGTGTGTTGTGTTGAAAGATGATTTTGTGTAGCATGATGAGGATACTTAGTAGTGAGATGTGAGATGCATGTTGTAGTTGAGTTGTGAAGTTGTGTAGTTGTGTATAGGTGTTAAATGAGTTGAAGAGTTATACGTTGAGTGAGTTGTTGTGCTAAATAGAAATGTGTTGAATATGTGGTTTGTTGTTAAAGTTACTTTATGTTATGTGTGAACTATTTATATGTTGTGAAACATGATGAGATGATATAGTTGTGAGTTGTGAGAAACATGATGTGAAGTGTGTAGATGTGTTGATATTTATACAAAATTTATTAGTAGACTGTGTTGCTAAGTCGTTAGATGAGAGTTGTATGTTGTTATAAAGTTGTATGTTGTACTATGTGTTGAAAAGATATTACTTTACGATGATTGAGTTATAAATTATGAGTTAAGCTTTTAAGTTGTTGAGTTGACTGTGTTGTTTAAAGTTGAAATGAGTTGATAATTGAGCTGATGAAATGATAACTATGTTGTTTAAAGTTGAAATGAGTTGATAGTTGAGCTAATGAGATGATAACTATGTTGTTATGCCATGATGATGAGTTATTGATCACTAGGACTAGGAGAGATGTTTTTGAAGTTGTTCATCCCATTATGTGGATTAGAGTGTTGTGGTGCTCTAAGAGCCCAATTTGTTAAAAAACCCTCCTTGGGAAGTTGTCCCTTGGAGTGAATGATGTGTTGTTCTCCTATAGGACTTAGTTGATCCTGTGTGTGGGCAAGGTCGAGGCACACCTGTATAGGGGCCAGGTCGAGCTATACTGATTACAAGCGGCTAATTCGAGTAAAGTACGAAGTCAGGAACTTAGTTCCTAACCAAGTATCGGAGGGTTGTAGTATTTGGAGGATAGTTAGTAGGCTAATCC